TTTTTTCTCTAAAGAGAGCACACTGCTATAGACTTGACCATTAAATGTAATGTCTGTCGGAAGGACCTTAAAAGGAGACGCATTACAATTGAGAGAGGAAAGATTAACAAGAAATAATTCAATCGCATTAAAAGGTTTGACTGTCCTTTCCTTAGAATATAAATTTTTGTCGCTCGAGGTTGTCAGAACTGTCCGCGATACGTCATAGCTCATATGCGTCATAGATTCTTCCATTCCACGACACGGTCTAAGACGCGAGACACACAGCTACAGAGAACCAGAACTTGTAAATCATCGTATTATGAACGCAGCATTCTTCCACATAATTAATCTCAAACACGAAAAAATATGTCCAGCTCACCGAAAGCCAAACGCCTGATGGACGCCATTACCGAAGCCCACCGCATGTCCTACCGCATAGGCCGCGGCGAACAAGGCGTCCTAACATTCGAACCCTACAAGTCTCACATCCTACCACTATGGCGCTTCCGCACCGTCCCAATCGCTAAAAAGAGCGCTGAAGACCTATGGGAAAAGTTCGAAGAGTTCAAGGGTCAACGCGACTTTGTAGGGATGGATATGACGCGCAAGTTCATCCAGATGGGCATGACGCGTGCGAAACGATACGCGAATCATGCTGGTGGACGGAAGTATGCGAAGGGGACGCATAAGGAATTACCGAAGAGTGAGGAGCATCCCGATAAGAAGGAGAAGGAGAGGGCGAGTTTGATCTTTCGGGGATATTGGGAACGGTGTAAGGAGGATGAGGACTATCAAGATTTGAAGAATGAGTTTCTCAAGCAGCAGAAAGAATGGAACAAGTCATGATGAATGTTTTTACCAAAGAAACTATAGTACTTGTTTTTAATACTAAAGGCACCTTCAATGTACCATCTCAATCGTTGCCACCACATCCATCAGTCCATCCTCCCGCCTGTTTCGCAACCCAATTATTCTTAAAACACCGCGACCGTACCCAGATAGGCGTATTAAACTTCGCCTTCCACTCATACCCATCTTCAGTCGGCTCATCATAATACTCAAACTCCCACCCAGTAGTCCCCAATCCATAACACGCATCCATAGACGGTCGCATCGTCTGCTGCCCATAATCCCAAGTCGAGAAACCTCCTCCCTCAATTATGTACGAGCTCCAAAGAACGTGATACCAACCCTTGCAGGTTCCTACACCATATTCGGGCGGCGGCCAAGGACGGTTTGTCCGCGTTGGATTGACTTCGTATGTGTACGCGCCATCGTCGCGAACGTACATACCTCCGCTCTTCCAATTCATCTTTCTCTTCGTATCGCAGTTGTGAATTAGCTTCTTCATTGAGTCGATGCACTCCGACTCATCGTAGTCTGCCATTTCCTTGCTAAGCGAGATCTTAAATTCGTGCTCATCTGGTGTGCCTTCGTCGTACTTCTTTGAGTACTCCCATCCTACCTCGTGCTTCGGCTGTTCGATGTTCTTACAAAAGTCTTCATAGTGTTTGTCTAGACGATCGGCGCTAGCGTAGATCTTCCAATCGTCGTCAGACCAGCACTTGAACTCATCCTTAATCTCGCAGTTGGGTGCGTCCACGCCTAGCACGAGTGATCGGAGATCCATCACCTCTGCCATGGCGAAACTAGCCATCGTGACATGACCGTTTTCGTTTGGGTGGAAGTTGGCGCCAATCTTGTTGGGCAGACCAAGACCCATGGTGTAGTCCCAGTTACCATCTCCAGGACATCCGGGATCCTTAGGATCACGGCGACGAAGAACTCGACGAACCATCTCAGAAGGGTTGGGACTGTTGAAGAACTTGGAACCCCAAATCCTCTGTGAAGCAGCTTCTTCCTGAGCCTCGAGTTCATCTTCCAGTTCAGCAGCGAGAGCAGCATCATCTTCATCAAACGAACGCTTACGCAATTCATCTCGAACGACGTTGGGATTGGTGCCAGGCTTGATGAAATGCATTCCGGGCTGGTTCTTGTCAGGGTAGTCACCATTGCTAGACGGAGAACACATTTGTCCATCGATATCAGCATGAGTAACCCAAGGGTTCCAGTCAGCGAAGCCAACCTTGTACTTGATCTTGCTATCCTTGGATATATCCGTGACAGCATCCGCAATAGCAGAATTGATCTTCTTGACAAGGGCGTTGAAGCGATGACGACGAGCAATGGTCAGCTTCTGCCTGCGAATGAATGGCAAGTCATAGCCAGAGAAGATATCCCAGTATTCCTTCTCGCAGTCATCGTTCTCGGTGCTGAAGAATTCAGCGTAGCCTAGTACAACTACTATGCCGTCCTGGTTCATCTTATCGTTTAGGGCATGGAGGATGTCCTTGGTGTTGCTCTTGATGATCTCTTCGACGTTCTTCTCGGCGACTTGGAGGACGGCTTCGCATGCCTTTTGGTTGCGGATGGATAATAGGATACATTCCTGAATGATGCCAGCCTGCGAAAAGAAATAATTAGCTCATGAGATGTTTGAGTCAATGGTAGAAAGCTTACCAAACAAAGGTCGTTACCACCAGCTGTCATCGTGACCAAGTCAAGATCGCCCTCAATCTGCTTGGCCTGCTGATAGATCTGTCCAGCACGATCTCCACTGCAGGCAGCATACTGGAAATCATCAACATGCGTACCGAACAGTCTGCTGATGATCATCGGATAGGACATATCGTAGCGAGCACAGTACCAGTTGTCATGGCCGCTTATGTCAAGGTTTGGAAGTGTGATATTGAACACAGGAGCCTTCTCATCTTTCAAGCCGATATCAAGATGCTCACCGTCGGTCCACTTGCCCAGGGCACGACCTGAGCCAATGCCAGCTGTGTAGCTATCACCGATAGCAGCCCAGCGCTTGACCCATGAGAAATCAGAAGGGTCTTCGTCTGCTCGCTTTCTGAGTCTCAGTGGGTCTGTAGAGGCGGAGTGTAAAGAGGAATGCTTAAGGCGAGGAAGATGACTCTCTGCGACCAAGCAAAAGATCGAGAGCCCGATAAGAAGTGAAACTTTCATGATGCTTTCGTCCAGAGTGGCACACCATGAGAATGGAAAATGAGTGGGATGATAGAATTGTAAAAGGTGTCAATTGCGCCTGAGAGTCGGCATATCATGAACCAAGAAGTAAGCTCTAAAAAGGCCTTTGTAGAGTCGTGTAGTCTTCAGTGGTATGACAGAGCCAACATCTACTGATCTGCAACGGTCATTGCTATATTAGAAGACTTAGCAGTTACAAATTGCCGACGCCGACCGGTGCCACATTGTGTTGGTTTGTTAATCCCTCAGTTTCAGCATAGGCCAAGATCGACAACGGGAAAAGTCAGTTTCGAAACACGCACAAACCTGTGGATATCAACAACCAACAGCAGAATGATAGACAGTTCGGTGATTCCACTTATACGAAAGCCAACGACTGTTGGTTCAGGGTTGTTTTGGTTGACCGGCTGAGTTCCCCGAGGCCAAAGCGCTGAGAATTCCGTTCGCTGGCCATAGCGCTCGTCAACTAAATGAAATGCACAGGGTAATGACTCCTATCTCATGCGTCACAACCAACAGCAACGTGCGAGTAAAATCATGATGTGGCTTTCGAGTCTAGAAAGGAAGCAGAGAACTCCACCTTAGTGGTCTGCGAACTTGAGCTCAGTACTAAGAAAATCGTTCAATAATTTTCCCATTCTGTACATCGACGCTGAGAGTTCCCAAGATGACTCGATTGAGATACTTCCTTTGCCTGTTGGCTCTTGGGCTACTGTCTTTATCCTTGGTTGAAGCTTTGAACCTCGATACCTTCTCTGGTCAGGCGAATGCCTTAAGCCGCCAACGAGAGAAAGCGCTGGGCCAATATCGGGCCAAAGAAGAGATACTACCCATGCGAATGTCTGTTCAAGCCAACGCGGACGAAGATGAAGATGATGAATTGTCGTGCAGCAAGAAGAAAGGCTGCAAGAAGGGCTGCTGTGGACCCTTGTAAGTACCGACGCTCTACCTGCAGTTAATGAAGGCACTAATAATTTGTACAGGAACAAGGAAGGCGTTGGCGTTTGTGGTACTGGGCCAAAGTTCTGTGGTGATGATTGCACTTCCGAGTGCGACTACAAGTCGGAGTGTGATCCAGGATGGGGCCTCCAGTATTCCAACTTTACCGAATGTCCTCTCAACGTCTGCTGTAGTGAGTATGGCTTCTGTGGCACTCTACCCAGCTACTGCAAGGGCAAGACTGTACCGTCGCCGCAGTGCAGTAAAGACAAACACAGTTCTGATAAGCGGACTATCGGGTACTACGAGGGGTGGAATTACCAAAGGCCTTGTGGGAACATGGAACCCGAGGATATTCCTCTTGGCTATTATACACACATCAATTTTGCCTTTGCTCTCGTCAATCCTGATACCTATCGCATTGATCCTATGGACAAAGGGACGGCTTCAAGATATGACAGGGTCACAAGGCTGAAGCAGAAGCAAGAAAACTTGGAGGTTTGGATTGCCATTGGAGGTTGGGCCATGAATGATCCTGGAAAGTACCGAACGGTCTTTTCTGATCTTGCAAAGTCGGAGAAGAAGCAGGATGCATTTTTCGATTCATTGATCACCTTTATGCAACAGCATAACTTTGACGGTGTTGATTTGGATTGGGAGTAGTAAGTACACTTGTCATTGCAATGCTCGATGGTAACATGTATGACAGTCCTGTTGCCGAAGACAGAGGCGGTATTGAAGAGGATTTTGACAACTACGTCAATCTTCTTGCTCGACTGAGGCGTCGTCTCAACTCATCTGGGCGCAAATACGGACTGACTCTCACTCTGGCAAGCACTTCAGTTACGGTATGCAAATCGAGAAGCTAACACGTTTACCCAGCCTGCATCCTACTGGTACCTGAAGGGTTTTGACATTGTCAATATGGAGAAGTACCTGGACTGGTTCAACATCATGACATATGATATACGTAAGTTCATTACCTACCATATCACGAATAAACATGTCGCTGACTTTCAAACAGACGGTGTCTGGGACGAGGATATTGAGGCGCTTGGCCCTTATGCCCTGGCTCACACTAACCTCACCGAGATTCACCAAGGCCTGGAGCTTCTCTGGAGAAACAACATCAACCCGGAGCGGGTTGTTCTAGGTCTCGGATTCTATGGCAGAAGTAAGTCGGTCTCAGTTCTGAAGCAAGTCACGCAATACTCACACTAAATAGGCTTTGCCATGAAAAGCCCCAACTGCCTTGAAGCTGGATGCGAGTTCAAGGAAGGCGCCAAGAAAGGTAAATGCACGGGTACCGAAGGTGTTCTCTCGGCACATGAGATCACTACCATCATCAAGAACGGTGGTAAGGTGACACTCGATGAGAAAGCGGGAGTCAAGATGGTTACTTGGGACTCTAATCAGTGGGTATCTTGGGATGACGCTGAGACTCTCAAGATGAAACTGGACTATGCCAATGAGCACTGTCTCGGAGGGTAAGTGTAAATGAAGCTCTGCACAACATGTATAAATGTCTAATCTTCTGAGCAGTACCATGATATGGGCTATTGATCTCGATGATGGAACCTTGATCGAGGCGCTGGGGAAGGGTATCAAGCGAAAGAAGGCAACTGTTATTGAGCCTCCAAAAATGATTGAGTGCTTTGGATCTAGTGAATTGAACAAGGATGAGCTGTGAGGGAGGGGAGCCAAGTCGAAGGAACGAAACTAGAACTATGGCGTGAATCTGGGTATGCTCTCTCAAAGATACTTTTTAGTTGACATGACTTGTAGAGAATGTATGATAGTTCAAGGTCGTATAAGAACTCTGAGTAAAGATTATACGGTTCCAAACGTAAAATGTCATGACAGTCGTAGTAAGGCTTGGATTCTGTGTCAATATGCGTTAAATTCAAATTGTGTTACAACTGCGTATAAGGGTTGTGTACTGGGTAATACAGAGTCTGAATAATAAGTGAGATTCTGATTTAAAAGATAGCGATAGGATAATGATGATTTAAATTTTAAGCTATATGTACATGACAGAAAGGAGATAGAATAGCTAAGAGAAAGTAGATAGTATAACAAGACTGATATGGTACAAGATGGACTTAACAAACACCATCCTTAGTGTCTCCTCCCTTCAAAGACAATGTACTTCGAACCTTCCTAAAGGTCCTTATAAAATAATTATCCTTCGAATTGAGTAGGCTACTGACACCCTTGTACTTGTCGCCATAGATAGTGATCAACTTATCAATGTCTGCCACAGAAGCACCCGTTCGAATGGGGATCCGGTCACCGTTCTGGTAAGTCAGGATGGGCAGCCGTTGATCGTCGTCGGCGCCATTGACTTCACCAATTCCGCCAGCATTAGATGGGTACAGCATTAAGGATTCTGGGTCAAATGCTGCATCCGCATCATGTCCATCTGTTTTCATAGGCAGCCACTCCGCTCCACTGAATCCATACTTATCGGCTGTTGACCAGGTCCTGCACAACAATTTCTTATCATCAGCTGCTGTTTTTGGATCCTTTTCCATCTCGTTGATCTTTTCAAGAGTTTCCTCGTAGTCTTTCAAGTTTCGACATATGAAATCATCAGTTTCGAACCGAATGTCACTGTTCTCATTCACTAATTGCATATTCCAACCCTCTTGCGTCATGTCAGATAGCTCCCAGTGAATGTTCTTCTGACTGTAACAAACATTGGTTGGTATCAAGAAAGGATACCTGTAGGTCTGTGGAGAAAGCGAATGATATTACTCATGAGAGGTTCATTGCCTGGAACAAGGCCCTTGGTAATGGTTGTGCTGGACTGAAACCCGATTCCTATGTTTGCGTGGGCGTGAAGAGTACATAGCAGTATCGATACGATCGGTAAAACATCAGGAGGTCTGTGACAAGTGGTCGATAGAATAGAAAGGTTTCATTCATGTATTGTTGTGCCTGAGTCGTACATACCTCTCACTATAGGCATTCAATGCGATCTATTTCCAATATTATCGCATTGTTCAAGTGCTTGGAGTAGCAGAGGGAGGGTTTCTGAGAGGCCTTCAGGTTTATAGTGACAATTGTTATAGCCAACGAATTGCAATTTTGGGGAACGATGATCTCCGCGAACGGTGCACGCTCGTAGTTGTCATGCTGCCACCAACAGACAGTGTTGTCACACAGTCGGCACTGTAAAGATGGACCCGTGCCCATCCTGGAAATCTCTCGAGAACTTTCCCACCAACAGCACTCTTTATCTCCCTAACAACACTTAGAAACCTAACATGAGACGACGCTAGAAGCTCAAATCATGGATTGAAGGCAAATTGAGTAAAGTCAGGACGACCTCTGTTGCTCCTCAACCGCCCATGCTTCCAGAGCCTCGACACAGTCTGACGCCATCCCCCTCATTGGAAGACGTATCCCGACCTAAGCAAAATGCGCCAATCTTTACTCAATTGCCACCCGAAATCCGCCATGAGATTCTTTTACAGGCATTTGGAGGTCGCACAGTCCACATTGATCTTGTCTACCAACACCCACTTCAGCCGCCAGATCCAAAGAGAGCGACGTACCACTACGGCAAAAATATGGAGCAGGGCTGTTACCTGGACAGAGATAAGCCCAAGTGTTGGCAGTGGCGCGGATGCGTTTGCCATCGCAATCCATCCAATCTACGCCGTGTGTTCGGGCAGAAAAATGCTGGCATACTCGATCCTTCTGGTGGGCCTACTGGTGATATTTGGCCTCCTTTATATCCACAAGATCCTACGTCTGGACTGGGCGAGGATATGTACAGGCATTGGGAATTAGATGAACCTGGCGACGACAGCTGCTGTAAGGGTTATGCTAATCATTGCGGGGAATATATTTCTCCGAAGATAGGAGGTAAGCCAGACGCGTGCTGGATTGGTGCTATGGGTTGGCTTTTGGCCTGTCGCAAAGCGTAAGTTCACCGCTAACAAGCCTTGCTGTCAAGCATTGGCTGACAATTACATCCTGTAGCTATACCGAAGGCATGGAAGTTCTGTATGGAATAAACACTATCCATATGGGAAGCAAGCCTCTTCTTTACAATTTACCGACGCTCATTACTCCTCAAAGGCTACAAACGATGGATGCCTTGGAGATCGTCTGGAGACCAGACGTGTACAGGCTGCCTGGTGGACGTCAAGGACTCCACGCCGAGGAGTGGAAACTTGATCAAGAGCAAATCCCACAGATCCACGACATAATTCTGCAGACCTTCCTTCATGTTCGACGCCTTCATTTGGCGTTTAACATAAGCTACCATGTAGGCAATCGACCCCATCTCAACAACATGGTCCTCCGATGGGATGAATTCGCGACTACCCTTGCAAGGAAGGGCAATCTACAGGCACCTCTCACAATCTCTCTCACGAGTTCTTACTGGATGGACTTGTATGACAAGGCCAAGAAAGATGCCGTGAACAAGGACAGTTGTCCTTCAACACTGAGGAGCCAGTTTTGGCGGTGGACAAATGGAAAGTGTGCCCTTGCGCCCTTCACAAATTCGACGGAAACTTGGGGTAAGATCGATGGGGCAACAAAGGAAAATGGGTACTGGATTGTCCGTGGAGACAAGGATGATGACAAACGGCGTCAAGCTCAGAGCGTATGCTTTTGATGTTATTTTCAACTTTTCATGTACCTTTCAAATCAGAACGCACAGACTTTGCTTTTAGGACCAACAGCCAGGGTAGACTGTGCATGCGCCTTGTAACACCGCACGTGCTAGGGCTCAAGTATATAGATCCGCTTGCTGCCTAAATCAATTGTTCCTTAGCTATTAACCAACCTGATAAGGCTTACCAATCAATCATGATTCACCGCTTCAAATCTTGGGTGGCAGAAAATCGCGCCAAACAGAAAAAGCAGACTAAAGAAGGATATCCCGAGCCTGCACCAGATTTACCTTTCTTCCTCAATGCCGAGAAACAACTCTTGCCAATATGTCCCGCGAGTATCAACGCCCACGATGCCCCAATCTTTAACAAATTGTCGACCGAAATCAGGCGCGAGATTGTCATCAAGGCATTCGGCGCTCGCAGGGTCCATATGGACCTTTTCTACGGTCACCCGTATATCTCGAAACCTGGCGACAATGGATTTCCTCAGGGCGCACACTACGAAGGTAACTACGATAAGAGTGTGCCCAAGCGTTGGCAATGGCGTGGCTGCGTCTGCCATCGCACTATGTCACTCGAAGTGCAAAAGCTTGCTGATGGGGGGTGGAGAGATTGGCCGACGGTTGGTGAGTCGTGTGATTCTCTTCAGCTTGGCGAGCAGCGGAACAGACGGTGGGACTCGGACGAGCCAGGTGATGATACTTGCTTCAGTGGCTTTGCTAAACAATGTGGCTCATATACCTATTATGGAGATGATAGTGCGTGCTGGATTGGAGCTACCGGATGGCTTTTAACTTGTCGGCAAGCGTAAGCGTACCCAGTCTTAAACTCTCAGAAATGCTAATTTATAACGTTATACAGTTACACAGAAGGTGTAGAAGTCTTATATGGAACAAACACGATTCATATATCCAGCGAAACTCTTCTTACCAGGCTACCGTGTGACATTCCTACCCCTCCAAGGCTGCTACTTCTGCAATCACTCGAAATAGTATGGAATCTGGATACTGTCAAGCTATCCCGTGGCTGGGCTCTGCAACGCCCAATCAGACATGAACTACGCCAAGACCAACTTAAACAAATCATCGAAATCATCCTCGACAGCCTCGCCAACGTTCGCCGTCTACATCTCGCTCTGGTACTTCGAGGGACCTACGGAGTCGACCTCTATCTAGACAACAGCTTTCAGCTAATTGATGTGCTTGCTGATCAGCTTTGTCGGTGGGGAAGGCTCAAGGTCCCGCTTCAAGTCTCCATCACAAGCAGCGTTTACAAACAACTATACGTGCAAGCGAAAGAAGTGGCCATCAACAACGACGTCAAGCCTTGTGCTGTATTCCAATTCTGGCGTTTTCTGGATGGTAGAGTTGCCCTGGCGCCAGGGTCTCCAGAAAGGTTTTGCAAGATCGATGGCTCGACGGTCAAGAATGGTTACTGGATTGTGCACGGGGACAAGGATGATGATAAGCGGCAAATTCCAGAGTGTGGCTTTGGCTTAAGTGAGGATTATTATCGCTTGATCCATGCAAGGGATTTACGTTCACTTTAACTAGACATGGAGATGCGAAAGAAATGGATTTATCCGCAAGGTTTAGCCTGCCATTCCCTGTATGCTAAAGTGGTCTGATCTTCGAGGTGACCCATTGTCACGCATTTCCCCTCCTTTGACCATTTCAGATCATAAAAGCGCTATTTTCTCTTGCCTGGATTCTTGTAACCTCGTTCATTATGATGCATCGGCGCAGCAATTCCAACTTGCAAGCACCTCAGGGTTCGTCCCCTCCAGGTGATCTTGTCCCCGGTGAGGAATTTGACGTATGATCGGGACGTACACGAATCACGTGCGAAGCTCATCAGTTTACAGGCTGACGACGCGGATTCTTTATCTCAGTCCGATACGTGAGTATCATTCGCTGACCTGACTTAATGATACTGATGAGCCGGTGAAGGTCGAGCTCCACGGCTTCAGTCTCTGCCAGTATACTCGAGTATCGTCGAATTCATGGTCGAACATATCACAGCGACAAGTTCAGAAATGACTACGTATTCCCAAATGATGAACAGCAGCTACAATCTGTTGACATTTCGTATGCCGAAGATCATACTCATGAGACGATTGGAATAAACTGACGGTATTCGCAGTCATCATTATCTCACGCTTCTGTTGGATGGCGAGTTGTTTCTCGCTCCAGTCAAAGAAGATGTTCAGGTATCGTTACTGTTCTGTAGAGTCGATTCAGGAAAGCTGTTCTGACTATCTTGACTTGCGCAGAGAGTTCTCGATGTCGGAACAGGTAGTGGTAAGTTCTCGCGTCCCCATCTACTTTAGTGGCTTGGCTGACTGGCCCCAGGTATATGGGCAATGTATGAAGAATAAACGTCCCTCAGGATAGCTTCAGGCTGACTTCGTTATTTTACAGAGATTTTGGTGATCAATACCCGAGTGCAGAGGTAATTGGGACCGACCTTTCACCCTGCCAACCACAATGGGTGCCCCCGAACGTTCGTTTCGAAGTCGATGATGCCACCGAATCCTGGACTTGGAATAACAACCACTTCGATTTCATCCACATTCGATATCTATTCGGAGCAATTCCCGACTGGAACCACCTTTTTGAGCAGGCTTATCGTTGCTGCGCTCCGGGAGGATGGATAGAGTCCGTCGAAGCTGATGTACGAATTAAAAGCGACGACGGTACAGCAGATCTGGCGCCGGTGTGGAAGACTTGCGACAAGATGTACGAGGAGGGAGGTAAAATCCTCAACCGATCGTTTTTCGTCAGCGAATTGCAAGAAGAAGGGATTAAAAAGGCTGGCTTCGTGGACGTCAAAGTTGTGGACTACAAGGTAAGTTCGAAATCCGTCTAAAAAGGGCTTCTTTTGACCGCGAGATAAAGATCCCGATTGGTGGCTGGCCAAAAGACCCAAAGTTGGCGGAAATCGGACGCTTCGTGCAGCAAACCCTTGAGAATGACTTGGAAGGTAAGCAATCTTTAACTTTGGGTCATGCTAAAGTTACTGAAACTCGGTCTAAGGATACTCTTTCGTGCTCTGGAACAATGTTCTCAAGTGGCCGGATGATGAATACCAGATCTTCCTTATACAAATTCGTCAGGCCCTTCGAAACCGCAAGGTTCATAGTTATATCATGACGCGATACGTGTATGGTCGTAAAGCGGAAGAAACGTGAAAAGCAATTACTTCCACTTTATATAGTAACAAAAGAAACAGGCATTTCCAACACATGATTGACTAACCTCCAATTGCCTCGCTCAAAATAACCTGCAACGTGGTATAAGCATTCCCTAAACACTTCAGGTGTTGAATGTACTACATGGAAGCCCAAGTTGAAAGATTGCCTAACCTAACTCCATAGGAACAGCAGGTGGAATGCAAGCCCGACCAAGAAAACTGTTTACAAACGAAACACAGTTAGTGACTGCTTTGCCCTTTTCGATATACGTACCAAGTGAAGCTATACTAAAGCGATTAGTGAGTGCCTGCATCCATAATCGTATCCTGAGCACTTCAGCAATCGTTTCCCTAGAGAAGTGACATTATAGTTAGCTGATGAGTTCACCATGGACAGTTTATAGTACTATGAACTTACGGATCCTGTAGGCTTTCTTCGTTCGCACAGTGATGACTTAAAACACTGTTGTTTTCTTCCAGTAAAAAGAGGATCCGGTCCAGATTGGGCAAATCGATAACTCGAAGCCAATCTGCGAGTGTGTAGACAGTATCAGAGTCGAAAATACGTGTGGCTTGCACCGTTTTCTGATACTCTGATGAATCCGTTGCGTAATCTGACCACATCCTTACCTCGACATCTCCGAGATTAATAGTCGCATATTCTTTTTCAGTCGATCGTGTGATGAAGACTTCAAATTCGCAAAGAACTCCCCTGTTGAGGAAACTTTCAAGCCAGTGACTAAATCCTCTTCGGTCTATGGATCCGTACAGATACCAAAAGTACCAATTTACTGCCAAGAAGTCCCGCCATATCGTCAAACACTCCACATTGTGCACATGGAGATTTTTATCATTATAGGGGAGTTGAGTGAACCCTGTGGAAAAGGAGTCTGCGAAACATCCAATATTGAATAACTCATGCTCTAGGTCGCCACTGACATGCTCAGGTACTGGGTGCCTAAAGAGTATAGCAGCAAGCATGGCTTTCTTTATTGGTGAGCCAATTCCATGTGCACGATGTTGCATCCTCCAAAGAACATAGTCGTAGCGACGGAACTTTAGTGCCATAAATAGTGTGTTGAAATTGCCGTGCGTTCTGTTTTCTTCCGCCGTATGATAATTTGGAGTCACCCACCCTATTATGCGTCTTCTGGTATCGCTATCATATATGAATGGAACAGCGCAGTTGCCGGCCTCATCGCAGACGTAACCCTGAGATAAAAAGTCCAACGTATCCAAGAATTTGAAGTTCGTTTTATCAGAGGATATTTCCAGAACAAAACGTGCGAGTCCAGGGAAAAGGTTCGGATTTTGTGGCATTGACCCTACGCAAAAACGCCAATGTGCTAAAGATAGGTTTGCAATGGCATCTGCTGCGTTGAAGCTGCCAAGCATAGCCTTTCTTTCCGACGCGAACTCGCTTCTTTCGAGGATCTCAGGCACAGATCTATGAACATAGCTAATGGCGATGGGCCGATTGGGGCCATCGGACGTGTAACCCAGCTCCCGCCATGCCATTTCATCTCTCCCCATTAACGTATTCTCAACCGCTTCAAGCAAGCCTCCAGATTCATGTTGAAGCTTCCTCAGAGCATATTTCATTCTTTCTTCTCTTGAAGCTGTGTTACCATTAGGACCTTCGTCAGATTCTCGGATGAGGGCAAATCCGGCGTCCTTGTTGTACTCGTCAAGAAATGAGTACGCGATGAGCCACAGAGTCACCGGGTTTATTTCTGGGGATTCAGCAGAAACCTTTAACATCGATAGAGTTTGATATAAATTCCTCTTTTTGCGTCTAGATAGGCGGTTGAGAATGTATCGGAAGATGTCTTCCAGGTCGGTTGGAAGTTCGTCGAGTAATTCCATAATAGAAGATTCCCTCACGGATGATCCGGCAAATGAGTTGTGTGGGTCAACCTCAATGTCTCTCCGTAGCGCTTGTACAACAAGTGTACACCACAGAAATATACCCTGTGCCTTGCTTGCGACTTCATAAGAAAGCTTGTCAGGTAAAGCCTTGTTTTGAAGGTGGCTTAAATTCTTTTTCGTGTATCCACGTAGGTCATACCAGGTCATTTGATGAAGTCGAAGTCGTTGATACTCCTGATATCGGTTCATAAATACATTCTCTTCCCTGCTAGACACACAAAGCTTCAGGTTCTTATGGGAATCTTGCACCCAAGTATCCAGTATGTCGACCAGGGTTCTGTAGTCATGTTGTCCGCTGCCGACAAATTCATCAAGCCCATCAATGAAAATGCACAACCGACGTGATTTGTAGAATAATTCATTTTTCAGGAGCATGAACAAGGAGCGTTCGATGATCTCTGGAGAGATGAGAAACGGACTTTGTATAACTGCTCTATCCTTCTTTGCTTGGTCCCAATAGCCCGGTAGCACTGACGGGATAAGTTCGGGATATTCGGTGAGGATACTGTATAACAGGGACCGGTACAGACCATTCAAAGAGTTTTGTGAACTTGTACCAGGTTTCCAAAAGTAAAAGTTTGACATGAACAGTTTTTTACTGGCTAATTCGGAATCAGAGATGTGTTATGGAGTTATAGCCTTGCGGTATGTATAGTGGAGCTTACCAGACCAAACCTCCAACTCCTTCCTGGTGCGAGGATGAGTATAGAGAAGCTTCATTAGAGTAGACTTTCCCGATCCGAGCTTCCCACTGACGTGGAATATGCCATCAGAAACGGCTAACCAGTCCACAAACTTCTTGTTGGATTGTAACTGCATCTGACGTTGTCGGGAAACCCAATATCCACTTGGTCGATCAGATTCATCGTCTTTGGTCGAGCAGTTCGACTTTCTTCGTTGTTTAGGATCTAAAACCCATGTAAAGGTTTCATCTGCTGGTAGATGCACTTGGTTATATCTCGAATCCATGTCGCTCGGACATAAACTCCTCAAGATACGATCTTGGCAAACCCTATCCAGGACGGCATCCTGTCGTTGAAGAATGTCACGAACCTGAGCCAGGATGTCGGTGCCCAGGTTTGCCTCGGCCGTTTGACGAAGCTCGTCAACGTTTCGTTGAATTTGTTGAAGCTTGGAAGTATCATCAGTTACCAGTGAGCGGATTTGATCTAACGAGTATGTCATCTGTTCACTTAGTGTGATGTTAGTCGCCACTCGCTCTAGTAAATGCACATGACTTACCTTTTGAGATACGAGAGCTCAAGTGAGAGCTGGGCGCCGCACTGCGTGAGCCTCTCCTCCAACTGTATCAGGTCCTTCTTACACCTCCAGGTCTTCAGTCCTGCTAGAAAAGCTGCATATTTTGATTTGTCTCCCCCAATCTTGACAGAGTTAAAAATCTTCAAGATCTCGCTAGATATACTCTGGCATTCACTGGAAAGGTTGCAGATGCCTTCATACTCTGGGGTAATTGCGGACGAATCAGGCGGTTGAAGCTTCCTTGAAAATGCCTGCATAGATCTCGCGACCGACTCCCTGGTCAGATTATCGTTTGAACATCCGTCGGCGGAGTCGTAAATTTCCTTGGCGTTGCGCACAACTTTCCAACTGAATTCTAGGAAAGTTATGACGGCGGATGTCACGCCGATTGCCGATGCTGGGTCCATGGTGTGATGATCTCAATGCAACAGGATGTGGACAAGTGTACCACTGATGAGCTGAAAGCTGAGGATGAGAGAGAGGGGGGGATAACAACGGATAGTGACTTAATATTCTTAGAGGCAAATGATGAGGCTGTGTTATGTAACTAATAGAACAAATGTGTTGGTTGGTGATGGTCATGTAGGACTACAATACGACGGTAGGGGTTAGATGCATATTGAGGCCACCAACATGTTGTCTCACCTCTTTTATTGGTGTAGAGCTAGGCTGCAACGCCACTGACCTCAATTTTAAGTATCTGTAATTTCGATGGTCTTATTATAGGCTTACATGTCACAACAGGTCGTGGCTGTGAGCTGGAAAAGTTCAAACCTTGTCAAATCGGCCCAGGATTAACAATTTATATAGCTAAGAAAGGCTAATGCTGAACATCATGACACTCTTGCCAGAATGCATAGCATTTCTTTTTCATCGCATGTTCACACCATATAAACTCCTTTAACTTGCCCTCCACAATTTCCCAGTCCTGACCATAATCGCTTGGGTAGAAGCATCGATAGCGTTGCACCAACAACGCTGCTCGATTTCTATTGACCTGGCTCTTTGTGAGACCACCAGCGACAAGTAGCAACCAGAATGAGATGTCCGGGGCGAGTTTCCAAGGTGACATGTGTTTTGTAAAATTCTCCATACAGTTGAGGATCTCTGCGACACACTTTTCGGGCGCAAAATATCCTTCCCAGATACCTGATGACAGTCTGTATGTGCAGAGGTACGCAGCGAAAAGGCACGCTCTGTAGATAAGGGTCTGCTCTTTTTGTGGGCTGGTCCTGGTTTCACTGAGAAGATCGACGAGACGGATCTGCAAGTTCGCTTGGGCGTTGGACAGCGGATAGCCCTCATCATCTAGATCTTCCATTAGTGGAATGGAAACGGTTGTATCGTTCCCATCGAGATCTGCAGATCGTCCTGGTAGCCGTTTTTGTCTGTGCACTGCATCCACTACGCAGCATAAGGCGTTGAGATCTGCGAGTACACGAACAGACGTCGCAGGCCAGCCATCAATATGTATTTTAAATCCTTCGGGCAGAACAAAGTATTTTCGGTGGCTACTGTCCTCCCTCAAGCGGGCAAAGGCGTCATTAACATCAAATTGCAGTAGCCGAGGGGTCCCAGTTGCCAAGGAACACATTATGTCCTGCCAGAATAAAGCTCGCTGGGTCTTCTGTATGCCTGCAGGATTATACCCACTAGCCAATACATCAAACTGGTGGAGTAAAGTCTGCAAACCACGAATATGAGTAGCTGCAGCAGGCCTCATGTCCCGGACCCGGTATTCATAGCTTATCAGCATGAGAATTGCTGTTATGCATTGCAGCGATGGGGCATCGCCTAGGTTCAGATTGAGAGATTCGAGAACTTTACCACGGTGATACAGTGTCTCATAATTGGGTACGTGATTATTTGCTTCCAACGCAAGGACGAGAGAAAGAGCATGGAATAGTGTTTTGTCTGTCAGAAAGGAAGACAGGTGATTGAGACTTTGGAAGAGAACAGAATTATTTGATTCGTCAATGCGAAATAGTGGTTCTCCCGCGTATCTGGCCGATGCTGTTATCGTGCATTAGTCAAGAGGTGGAGCATAACACGATCAGGTACGTACGATGTCTCAAAAGCTGCCGTAGACGATCAGGGTTTTCGCAAAGGGTATCAAACGGATCGACAGTGTGGCCCGCAATGTTAGCATATGGGTCGCTGGTCCATGGTGTATAGATTCTGGAAACAGCATTGAACGATTCTTGGTCACTGTTGGTGTCGCAGTCACTCGTCTTCATTTGGCTACCATAATAGGCAACCTGTTGAGTGACCTTTCCTTGGCGCCGACGGGTCGGAGATTGGCCAGGAGAGGACAAGACTACAGGCTCGGTCATACTCGCGTATAACCGAGTACTTTACGCGCGGCGCCGAAAAGTGAAGGGTATATGCAGAGGGATGGGGAAGCTTTGATTGCAATCATATCTTACGTGCGGCAAATATTCCCCAACAGCGCTGACTAATACTACCCTGAAGCAGTTCAATTTTGCCCATAAGTCGTAAGGAAAATTGAAATAAGACCAGCAGAAAAGCTTCCAGTTCGTGCATCCTGAATCCATGCTGAGAAACATCCTTGCGAAATGCTAATTTAATCCTACTGTACATGTTTTGCGTGACAACTGTGAAGACAGCAGAGTAGAGTATGAGGGTATAATGGTCGATCACGAAGATAGCAGTTCTTCACGTCGACCAGAGTGTGTAATCAAATTATTTTAAGGTAAAACTGATATTGTGCTTCTCGAATTCGCGCCTCTGCATCGAATAACAGTTAAACAACCTCATACCGTTTGCAAAATTACCGTTGCGTACCGAGCAACAGAATGCGACCGGTCAATGCGCGGTCACTCAAAGCCGCCCTGGTTCAACAAACGCGACCAGCCAAGACAGCTTCTATCCAATACAAGCCGGACGTCGCTCTCTCTATATGCAAGGACAAACTTTATTAAGAAGCCAGAAACATCAAAATCAGGGAAATTTGCCTGATAGTGCGAGATCTTCAATTGCGGAACTAGATCTAAAATCCGAATGATGACCTGCCAAGTCTTTTCTTATCACAAAGCGGGGATTTTCTCCAACGGTTGGCTTGGCGTGTCTGTTCATGACGGCCATTATATGCGAAAAGAAGCCGATCTATCCCGGTTCCTTGTCATTGTTGAGAAGGGATTGATGTTGGTTGGCGATTGAGTGTCAATTGTCTTGCATTCGGTGGAGCAGGATCTAACCATAAATCTATGCTTGATAATAAACGACGGAGAAAAGAATGTCTCCGCGAGTCGTTTCTCCAAAGGTTACTCCACCTCAACAAGGGATCCCTCAACTTTATTTCCCGTGGGAACACAACTAGTGCAAGGTTGCACAACCCGCGGCCTTGGCAGTGGAGAGACACTTTCTCCCGCGGGTACAACAACAAATGTCTTCTCTCTAGTATTCCGCATTGGTAAAAGATTGGCATTCGCTTGACGCATAATACTCACGCGATGCCCAGGCCAAGAATTCCATGAAGCTTAACGTCAATTTCTCTTTGACATGCTTTTACAAAGACATTGGCCACTGTGGTGTTGACGGGAATAATCCCTGTAAATGCCCAGACGGGAATGTACGAAGTGGCCAAACAGGAGGCATCATATCGCTTGGCACGGGAAGACTTCTTTTTTTTTTTTTTTTTT